GTTACGAACTTGACTAGACCTACGAACCGGATCCGCGGCCATTTTCCCTGCTGCCACGCAGTCGCGGCTTCCCTTGGGGGAGGGCGCAGTAGCAAGGAGACAATCGGTGAGGCTTGTGTGGTTTGCGGGGTTTTGCGAAGGTTTTTGGTGTGCGTGTTAGCATGGCTTCAAAGAAAATGCAGAGCAGGCTGGGCGGGAGTCAGGCTCTGAAGAGAAAATTGCCTCGGGTTGCGACCAAATTCGAGCAGAGGGCGGAACGGATTAACCGGATTTACATTGAACCCTATGGGGAAATTCGCCTCGGGTTGCGACCAAATTCGGAGGGAGGAACGGATTAACCGGATTTACATTGAACCCTATGGGGAAATTCGCCTCGGGTTGCGACCAAATTCGGAGGGAGGAACGGATTAACCGGATTTACATTGAACCCTATGGGGAAATTCGCCTCGGGTTGCGACCAAATTCGGAGGGAGGAACGGATTAACCGGATTTACATTGAACCCTATGGGAACATTTGCTTCGGGTTACGACCAACTCAGGATACGTCAAGAGTCACGGAACGGATTAAGTTCATATCCCGAGGTACCACTGTATTGGGATTACAATGCCTACTAGTCTTAGCCAGCCTCATGGGTGTTTACTAGGCAGGTCAAAGGGCACAAATGAGAAAACATACATGATGACATTACGCAAATAATATGCCTTAAGTACTTGCATCAGACAATGGGACACAAGAACATAATCATGGCATTTATATGAATACACCATCACATTATATGTCACCTTGGGGACATAATTTGCTGCAGAAGCCGCTGCCCAGCATGGACATACACAATACACGTTCACAGGGATTCTGGGACAGAGCTATATGTTTCCATTGCCTGTGGCTTGTTCTCTAGACTAGCCTCTCCTCCCATACTTCCCAAAGCTAAAGGAAACTGTGGGAAGATGGTTCCGCCTCCAACATACCTGAAGGCCTCAATGAGACGCTCCACCTTCTGGGCCTCGCCTTGCACCCGAATGTGTGACTGAAACTTTCTCAGGGCATCATCCAGGTCCATGCTGGAGAAGTCCATCTCATCTACAACGCAGCTATGAAACAGAAAAGTGCAGGGAAGGAAAAGAGATATATTGGTTCAATATGTATAAGGTTGAGAGCCAGTTTGATGTAGAGGTTAAGGAACCAGGGTAGAAATGGGGAGACCAAGGGTTCTAATGCTGCCTTAGGCACGAAGCCAACTGGGTGACCCTGGGACTGTCACTCTCTCTCAGCCCTAGGAAGTAGGCAATGGCAAACCACTTCCAAAAAACCTTGCCAAGAAAACTGCAGGGACTTGTCTAGGCAGTCACCAGGAGTCAACACTGACTCAAAGGCGCGCGCACACCCACACACACACACATGTGTAAGGTTGCTCCTTCCTCCTATGTTCCATCTTCATTTCCAAGCCCATATACTTCCTTTAAAATGCTCACATAAACAGTAAGGATTGGTTTGGAGAAACTTTTAGCCACCCCTTCACAATTATTTAAGAGCACATTGTAGGATTAGAAAGAAAAACAATGGATTACTTTATTCAATTATTTCTCTCAGCACAAAATGTACTACATCCCAAATTAGTTACCATGGAAAATCTGTTTCCAGGTTTTCTTGAGGCCATTAAGAAAAAGAAATTCCACAACGTCCCCAAGCACGATCACCTGTCAGTACAGTAGGAAATCAGACTTCTTTGATGAAGCTTAAACTGTTGGTCTCTTGTAAAATTTGTTCATTTCTCTCTTCCAGCAGACATCTTTTAAAAATATTTGAGAATAAGTAACGTGTCTTCTTTCCTCCAGAAAAAAATTTCTCCAAATTTTTGTCTAATCTAAAGTCATTCTCTACTCTAGTTCTCATGTCTTCAGTAGCCTGAAAACAGCAAGTCAATGATACACTGTACTTATATAGTATTTCTTCTAAGTACTCAAAAGACAGGACGTGCACTGACTGGATTTTAGCTGTAATTTGACTGACGAATGATTCAACAAATCAACCACAATTAGTTGAGTTCATACATAATGCTAAACCAGTAAACATGGCTAACAAGCCACAATCATGTAGTGTGCAAAGCCAAGATGAAAGAAACCACATCTTGATTTAGCCCAATGTGTGAACCCATCAATATCCTTTAGCAGCTTGTACATGAATCACTATTATGAACTCCATACTATACAGGTGGGTGAGAATGAAGCTGAAAGAATACTGGAGCATGTCTAAGTTAAAATCTGAACTAGAAGGTCCCCTCTTGTAATTCATACTTTTAATCCATGAATTCACAAATTTGGGCTCCCATTCAACCTTGGAAGTCACCAGGTGACTTTAGGTCACCTTCGGGGGCTGTTTTGTGGAGATAAAATAAGGGGGGAATTCCAAATAAACCACCATGACCTCCTAGAGGGAAAATGCAATGAATAGGACACATAAATAATAAATACAAGTCTATGCCTTGCACTCTCCTATAAAAATTAAAAACAAGGAAGTTATAGCTTTCCAGAAGGCCTAGGGGTAAGGTAGACTGCAGAAGCCAAAGTTATGATGGGGGAGAGAAAAATGTATAGATTTCCTTACTCAAGTACATCTCGGTTGAATTGTTTTTGCCGGTTGCCAAGAAATTCTCCAATCATCTGCCGACTCAGCCCCTTCCGCTCCAGGATGAACCGGGCCACGCCCACCGGTGTGTCCGACAAGAAGCCTCTCTCAATTAGATACTGGATCCCCTTTTCTGGTTTCCTACCAATGGGATGAGAAGAAGCCTGTATACGTGCATGCCTGAAATCACTTTTATCCAACACCCATTTTCCTCTCATTTGTGTTAATAGAGAACACTGACCACTTTCAAAAAAAGTCTGTTTCCAAAGAAGCGCTTTAATTTTATGTCTGTGTTAAAGTTCTAGATTTCCATTTTTTCAAATGGAGTGCAGTTTTCTTGAAAATATTCTGAGTGCCCAGCCTGATATATATAGTATTGTATCACTTCTCTGGGACAATAAGAAAGCTGGTGGAAGAGCCCTTAATTGTGCAATGTTAATCATATTTCTTGCAGTTCACTAAACGTTATAGAATAGTTAATGAGCTTTCATTCATTTTGATCCCTTCTTTGAAATTCCATTGGTCACATTATCAGATCCAAGGCTGAACTAGATTTAAAAAGTTATTATGTAAAACCAGATATTCCTCCTTTAAAATAGCAACAAAGCAAAAAGCCCCACCAAGCTGACATAAGAGGTTTCTTTGCCCTAGTTGGCAGCACCACGGGTGGTGAACCCTCAGATGTGCTTACTTACAGCAGTGGTGTCATGAGAGCTGGGGAGGAGGTATAGTTAAGCTGTGAACTAGCCCATCTCATTTATACCTACTGCCTTCCAGATGCTGCTATTAGCCAGGTGGCTGGAGAAGATGGGAGCCAAAATCCAGAATATACGGAGGACACCAAGTTGCCTCCACTGATTTGGGTCAGAGAAGAATATCAATATTTCAAATAAATGGGCTGTTTAGATGACTGGACAAATAAGCTGGTGATTTTTTTTTTTAGTATAATTGGTGATGTCACTTGAGTAAGTGGGGCCATTCTTTAAACCTTTTTTTCTGTTTGCAGGCAGGGATTGGTTTTCTAAAGCCTTAAATAGTTAGTTAGTTAGTTAGTTAGTAAGGATTATAAGGCTGAACATTGCCATGTGCCACTGAATATTCAGTGTGATCCTACAGGAAAAGGGGGGCCTTCCAAAAATGAAGTAGGGGGGCTACTTGCAAGTTGTTCACCCTTGCTTTAGAGAAATGGTGATCTGACATCTTATAGTCTCAATAACTTAGCTGATGAGGGGCACTGAAAGCCTCAGGAGGCAAAAATATTCAACATCTTTTTAAAAAGGCATTTCCAGAGGTCTATTCTGTCACATACCTAGCTCCAGGTTGGAAATGCCCCCGTGCAGCCACAAGATGTCAGCAACGCCCTTTTCATTCTCCGTTTCTCCAAAACACACGCTTGGGATTTTTGAAAAGAGGTCAGCAGAGGGGGCAGGGGCAGACAAGGAATATCTGGGTTCACAAGAAATTAAGTGGAAGCCAGTAAAGCACCACCAAGCCAGGTCTTACCAGATTCTTGATCGGATTCCCCACTATGTAACATTTTAAGGGACAAGAATGAGGGGTTAAATGTTGCGCACAAGGTGCTCTGGGAACTGTACGTCCCACTCGGTGCTGTTAAACCTGAACAGTTCTAGAACTCCAGCAAGAGAACAGAGTTCTCTGATCTCACAGAGGTAGCAAAGGAGGCAGTGAGCTTAGAGACTTGTGGGCACGAGCAGCTTTTGTTCATTATTATGGGGTTTAGAACAGCAACTCCCTCACAGACTGTTGTCCACATCTCTTAATAGGTGCATAAGTCTTGGGGAGGTTTAGATTTCCTGCCTTTGGTACCAAAAGGGCCTATTGTGGACAAGACTAATTCCTCATCTTGCTAGATTGAAGGATGCACGAAGAAGCAAATGCCCAAGGATCGCCTCCAGGAGAGCTCTCCCAGCCTGGCACATTGCCCCAGGAGTCAATGTGAGTCATGATTCTAGCTGGTTAATATGATGTGATGGCTGCCTCCCAGCCCCCAAGAGCCTGCTTCCTGCCAGTGAAAAAGATGCTGTCTGCTCAGTAGCAATTAAAGCTCTAAGAGCAACAGGAAACGAAGACCTAAGCCTTCTGCCATTCCTTTTGCTTTGACCTAAAGACCCAGTAGACACCACAGGGAGCAGCCGCCCGGATGGGATGGCTGGAAAAGAGCCAAGTCAAACCAAAAGGGGCAGAGAAAAGGATCAGGTGAGGTCTCCACCTTCAGATTGGCAGTGGTCCTGTGCCTTTAAGAAGGTAAAACTCTCCCCTTATCATTTATCTCCAGGCCACCAGGCAAAAGTTTCACTTGCTTAATTTTGGTACACAGGCATAGGAGCACAGCTGGTGTTTTTTTTTTTTTTTTTTAAAGGTAGCAACCCTCAATAGAAATAGGTGAAGTAGAGCAAACGCTATATATTTAGGATTAAGGTTTCATGTTTCAAGAATTTGGGGTCTGAGAGAAGCTAGTTCACAACTATGTTGAGATGGAAGGGGAATTTTTGGAAACCAGAATTCCAACTAAAATCCAGTCACTTAAACAACCAGCCTTCAGATTGTTTATAGGGTATCCCTAGAAAAGCCTTTAGAAGCAGAAGGCTGCACTTGAAAAGAATAAGTTGATAAGAACTGTTGCCCAGCACATCTGGTGGGCACCATGTTTTTGAAGACTGCCATAAAATATCCAAATTTTACCAGCAGAGAACCTCCTATAATGTGACCCATTTGTATCCTGTAATCCACTCTGGCCACATTTCATCCTGAGAATTCCTTCTGCTTCCGTATTCAGGGTTTCACATACTGTTATTATTTGTGGGGGAGGGAGGAATGCAAAAGAGAATGAAAGGGGAATGAATAGATCTGAAGCCAAGATAATGCCCAGACACTCAAACACTCCATTGGTGATCCAAACCATACAAAGACCAGATTCCACCCCATAGTGTCTATCTCTTGGAGAGCAGTTTGGAAGCTACAATAATAGGAGTAGGCAGGAGGACCTTGGTCAAATGCCCTTGCTCCAGGGAAAAGGCCACAGCAATTCCATTAAGGCAGTTGGATACTGGGACAAAACAGGGGGATACACCCAGTACATCCTTGGAAATAAGGACTGGGGTTGGACCAGGGAGACCCAGATTCAAGTCTCCTCTTGACCACTTAGCTCACTGGCCAGTCACTCTTTTTCATTCCACTCTATCCCACAGGGTTGTTGTTTGGGAGATGAAATCAGCCACAGGTACTGTATGTCACTTTGAGCCCTCAGAGAAAAGGTGAGAGATATAAGTAGAGAGAGGGA